TAATCTAGGTCCTCGGCCCTTTTTCCCGAGGCTGTGCTCCCCTGCTCCTCCGCCGCGTCCTCGCCGTCAACATCGACCTCATGGTCCTCGACGGTTTCCTCGGACTCTGAAAGCTCGAGGGCATCAGCAACCTCAGGGATGCTCTTTAAATCCTCGGGTTTGGCGTTGGGCTTCGATCTCAAAAATGCCCGAGCCTCCTTGAAAGCATGGAAGTACGAGCCCATAGCGTACTCTCCCTTAAGACCGTTGAACTCCTCGGACATTTTGAAGTCCTCGATCGCAACCCCTCAAGCTTCAGCCAGGCGAGTCTCAAAATCAATCTTCAAATGCTCGATCTCGAGCTTCAAACCTTCAGCCTCGCCCTTGGCAGCTCCAGCCTCTTCTCGAGCTTTTTGGACGTCGTTCTTCGAGTCCTCGAGCTCCTTCTGAAGAAGAAAGCGCTCAGCCTCCAAGTCGGCTATCCTCTTATCGTGTGCTCGAGAAATGTCCTCGAGTTCAGCAGTTCTTTGTGCCTTATCTTTCCCCTTCAGAGAAAGGCATCGGGCAATGCTCAGAGCCTGCATCATATAAACCCGAGCTTAGGCAATCACATCATGTAAACCTTATTAATACACCAAGTAAGTTGAGCGAGCTTACTTTCAGCTTGAGGGATTCAAGGGCCTTCATACCCTCATCAAAATTGAGGTCCTTCCGATACTTGTCCACGATGCTGGACACCAGTCAGGATCCTGATCTTGGAAGGAGGGCATTGGTGGAACCTCATCCTCGAGGTCAAAAACCTCGGGAGTACCCCTTGGCCGAGGACATGACCGAGGTGGAGCAGTTGGAGTCTCATTGGCCTGGGGGGCCTGGGTGGTCGAGGTTTGTCCCCGGGCAGAAGTTTTCCCTGGCCCACTCCTAATATTCTCAGGGCCTAAATCTCGAGCCCTCTTCTTCCCTCTCTTTTGCCTTGGAGCTCGAGCTTGAGGGGCCTTCGACTTCTTGTTCATGGCCTGTCTGAGGGCTAAAGGATCAAAAGTCATATCTGCAAAAAAAAAAAACAAGTCATTGACATGAGCACAATTATATGATCAAAGACAGATTAGTAAGGAAGAAGGCAACAAAGTCCTACCCTCAGTGCCTTTCACATTCGCGAGATCGAGAACGTCATCCCCGAGGATGTCATCTATATCATATACAAGAGGCTCGAGGTTCTCTAACATTACCCTATGCCTTTCTAAAGACTCAAAATAGGCCTGGCCTTCACAAAATCTGGGAGTGTCGGGCAAAACCCACCTAGGACTAAAAGGAAGGTCACTATCCTGAGGTATGACATAAAACCACTTTTCTTTCCATCATTTCAAAGAACTGGGCATCCTCGGTAATCTAAATCCTCCTCGAGATGAAAGGTAAGCAAAACAAGTATATTGAGGAAGCTGTTTCAGGTCGAAGACCATTCTACGGAGATCGACGTATGGGTTAATACCTAGGTATCTACAGGCTATAAAGAAATAGGTGGGCATCCTCCACCCGTTTGGCATGAGCTGTCTAGGGCTCATATTATGCTCGACCAATAAAGACAGAAAAAAGGGATGCAGAGGCCACCTCCCCCCTTAAGTGAGTCCCTAAAAATTACGAACTCTCCATCCCGAGCAAAGGCCATCCTATCCTCTACCCCTGGCGTCCTAATATCACATTTGGGCATGAGCCCATGCTCCCTAGCCGTCGATATTGCTAGATGTTCTTTAAATTTACAGGGAATCTCGGGATACCTAAACGGGGTCGGGATACTTTGTGCCCAAGGTTGGGCATTAATTGGGACAGCCATAGGTATGATCGAGCATCCTATGTCCTCGGGAGTACTCCTCGAGGATGAGGACGAAGACTCACTACTGCTACTACTAGACATCCTGACCTAGGTAAAAAATGCCTAAAGAATAACTTAAAAACTCGAGGTCTTACCTTAAAGTCGACGCCTAAAAACTCAAAGTTCCAATCGCGACGATTAGCGAGAGAAGTTTACTGAGAGTAAAAAGTGAAAAATGAAATGTGGAGAGGGTATTATAGGCAACAGGAGCAAGAAGCCCAAAGGTCACTACCCCGACCGTTAGATCTGGACACGTGTCCTACGTCCACCCCTACCATTTTTTACCGCCTTTTCCTATTCTAGGGCTTACGTCAGTACACGTCAGCCCTTCTAAACACCTGTGATCAAAAAATCCTCGAGCTAAATACTCGAGCTTTTATTTCCAGTCTCTTTGCATCATATCCTCGAGCGAAATCTTCGAGCATATATGCACGGGGGCCAATGATGGTGACATTTTCCAATATCCCCGATCAATACATTATCCCGAGCATGTGCATCCTCGAGACACTAAGCTCGACCACATCCGCCTGGTTGCTTCGCATATTGCAAATATTTTGTCCTCGAGCATCACAGTCCTCGGGCATATGCTCCCCTCACAGCCGACGATGGTTGACCCTTTAGAATTTCTACGCAATTAGGACTCTTGACTCCTGCAAGGATTCTATCCCACATATAATTATGGAATTCGACCAACTCCTTAACTATTCAGGACTCCAACAGATAAGGACATCCAACTAGTTGAGTCCCACTAGGAGAATGTCACTTACTACTATAAATACAGAACCTTGAGCTATTATTCAGGTATGTTTTTCATTGTTCTCCAGCACATAGCCTCACGCACATAATTTCCTTTCCGACTTAAGCATCGGAGGGGCGACGAGAACACACCTTGTTGCCTTTGTTTCAGGTACCGGAAGATCACGTTCGTGCTCCTCATCAGTCATCAAGCTTGGAAAATCTATAGGTACGATTTTTAGTAGCATCATGTGTTTTTCCCAAAATGAGATATGGGTTTATATAGGCAAGATGAAAGTAATAGTTTTCATCATGATCAGAGAATAATGCAGAATTTTAATGACTGAGTAGTGGATATTTTAATGATTGTGAGGGGTTGTTACAAAAACAAATGGTCAGAAAATACTGTCTAGTTTTACCCATTAAATAATAATAAAAAATTTATTTTAGTCAAGGAAACCTAAGAGCTCAAGGCCAAAGCCTTCAAGACATTTTTATTACTGTGTGGGGAGTAACTCAAACTTCTGACGTCCCCCACAAATGCCACATTTCCCACCACTTTGGCACTTCACCTAATTTGATTATTTTTTTCACATTTTATATTTATACTATAAATATATAACCGCCAGCTGATAGAGTGACGACATACAACTTTACAAGACGCTTAGCAGATTTGCTGATCAGTGGAACTTAAAGAACAATCATTCTGGTGCTTCAATCCACAAGGTCATGGATTGTTGCATGTTTTACGGGTTTTAACTCTTACTGTGCAAATACATTCTTGAAATACTGCTGTGCTCGTGCTCAACAATGGGGATTGGTATCCAAAATTAAAGTTAACTAGGTTATGCCTTCAACTGCACGAAGAATGTTTGCCATTTTCCGTTTAATTCATATTTTTGAAGAGAAAGTTAATCATCTTGAGTAAAAAGTTTCACTGATTTCAACTTCCTTTTTCTAATAACCTGAATTACGTTGAGGAATCTTTCTGTTCGTCAGTCCAATCGTCGTCTCAAGTATAAGTAGCCCGCATTACACGAGAAAGGGTTGTTTAATTACGTGTACATTGCGGGCAACAGCCGCCCAACAAACTGTTGGAATTAATTGGGTCTAACTTTGGATCAAGATATTAAATTGGATTAATTAATGTGGTTTATCAGAATTAATAGGGTGAATTGAAAAAGTTTTCAATTTAAAGCCCATTAGATTTTTGACTGAAAAATGATGTTATTAAATTTCAGGTTAAAATATAATAAAAGTTTGTGCTTTTATATTGTGGAGCACTTTCGAATTTAGTAATTTGATACTACTACTCCACCTACACCATGGCTTGCCACTAGTGCTTTAAGGCTACCACTCGGCCATGCAGGTCACAAAGTTCACACTGGATGCTTTAGTTTGCACCGTGGCGGGTGTACGGTAAATAGTCATGGACCATGGTGAAAAAGGCAATCTGGATCGCACAATCTAAAGAAGTGTAATTTAAGAACTCAAATTGATCTAGCCAAATACTGCACCTACTCGAACCACATGATATCTCTAAATAGTGACACCTTCTTTAACTCTGACACCTAATTAATTAAACATCAATTCATTTCTAATTCTCTTATCCTTTGAATAAAATGTTTCTTTTATTTTGTTGAATTTTTTTCGTCCAAGTCCAGAGAAAAATACTATCAACACTTTTGTTCAACTGACAAGATTGGTATAGTAAATTACTGACTTTGAAAAAAGCATTATATCGTTAAAGACAGACGTTCAATAATCATGTTGGCGCCTGTGTAGGGAGCCAAAATTTATCTCAAAAAAATCTGCTACGATATACCTCGCTTCATCTCTATTTATACTTTTTCTTTCTTCTAATTGTCCAAGTCGTTAATTTCAATGACACAAACCCAAAAGCACACTTGTACGTATCATTCAAAGCTACTAAGAGGCATTCTTTGGGATCAATGATGGATTCTCTGTTTAGTATCTCGTATTTGAAGAGTTAGCATCAGTTTATATATATATTTCTTGACCCTAAACAACCCACAACTCAGTGTCCATCTTTCAGACCCTCGTACTAGAGAGAGCAGACTTTACTCATGCCAAAGTAAATAACTTATTTTTCTGTCTCCGTGTTCGACTGCTTGACTTGCATCACGTGTTCTGTGTACACTGAATTTGATATCTTTGATTACTTTAATGTAAATCACTCTTCAATTGCTACACACGCCACATTCAAGTTTGTAAGAGTTTTCAACATAATGTTATTATTCGCTTTTAGCTGACAACCATTTTAACCTTAAACTACTCGGAACAAATGGAAAAACGCTGCTAATCAGCAAGGATGATATTGAACACAGAGAAGAATAATGATCGAAAACGAGAGTTGATTGTGTTCTCGTTGCTTGGGGTGGGGAAATATTCATCAATATCCATATACACATGGATCGAATTTTACTGAAATTCAGATATTCACTCACAGAGAAATAATGACTTGTCATTTCTGAAAGACTTTTTGATTCTCAACCAACACATTCATCGCATAATTTATAAAAAACAATGGAATAAACTGACTGAAACATCTTTAGCGCACTTCACTCTACAAAAATTACGATAACATAAGACAGAAACATTATCATGCTTCTACTCACCAACTCATCCTGCCCAAGCAGCACAATCAGTAGTTTAGCTGCCAAATCTCATGTCTGGCCAGCTTCACCAGTAGGTCCTGGCCGAGCATTTAAAAGTGGCTGGAGGGCTTTGACTACTATGCTCATATTCGGCCGGAAATCAGCTTCATATTGGACACACAAGGCAGCAACAGCAGCCATCTGCAATTAAATAGAGAGAATGAGCGAGGAAAAGTGTAATATATAGCGCACAATCATATCTTAATCTCTTACTATCAGGTCAGTATATCGTTCTTCTTCACCAAAATGATATAAATCTAGGCCACAGCAATATTTACAAACTTCAGCACTTGCGCCAGATGTGTACATGAAAAATGAAATCTTCTCCTTTTAACGTGAAACTTGATAGTTACCTTAGCGACTGACTTAGGAGGGTATTCTCCTCCCAGTCTTCCATCAACACATTGCCTGACCTTGTCTTCACTCAGCTTTGGTGTAGCCTAAATAATATGGCAGAAAGTTTGAATAAACAACTAAAGCACGAAGGAATTCGCTTCTTTATTTCAAATAAAATGAGATGTGACATAAACCACGGATGTTTAAACGAGAAATTTGAAGAATTTATTACCCATGTAACTAGACTTTGCTGCCCACGAGGTAACGTATGATCAACGGGCTTACGTCCTGTAAGAAGCTCTAGGAGGACAACACCAAAGCTATAGACATCACTCTTTGAGTTCAGCTGTCCAGTCATTGCATATCTGCCAAATAAGGTACCAAAGTGCACGAGCAAATAACACCAATATAATTTTAGCGCCAATAGGAGGATGAGGTCCAAATTAATACAGGATTCAGATAAGGTTCAGATAACTGAAACTCTAAAGCTGGATTTTAGATAAGTAGCAAATAAGAATATAGTGTTCAGATGACTGGACAAAGTTTCACAAAATAGAATTCATGATAACTAATAATTTCATAATGCAGTCATAAGGTTCGTTAAAATCTCATTCAACGATCCTGGTTGCCATAAAGTCTAGGAAACGGATTAACATTAGGATCCAATGGCTTATTCAAGCTTCAATAACCATAATATAGTGAACCAAGTAACTCATTTTACATAGTACATATGATCTATGACCTTGACACTTGATTTCCAAAATGGAGAGAGGATAGAAAAATGTATATAACATTTCCAAAGGGGAGAGAGGGGAGAAAAGTGTATATAACGTTCCAAAAGTATCTTACTCAGGAGCATGGTAACCAAATGTTCCAAGAACACGAGTCGAGTGAAGACGTGCTGCCATATCAGGAGCTTGATTTGACAAATCAAAGTCTGCAATTTTAGCAACATCATCATCAAAGATTAAAACATTGCTGGATTTAACATCACGGTGGATGATGTGAGGATCTGCCTTTTCATGCAAATATTCAAGTCCCTTAGCAGCACCTACTGCAATCTTTACACGCTGTGCCCATGAAAGAACAGGACCAGGTTGTGCCCCTTTAACACCTTTCCTTCCTGAAAGATAAGTGAAGATTAAAAATTGAAAGTTTTCCCCAAGTTATTAGTATGGATCAACAGAGAGAACGGTTAATAAAAAGTCAGAAAAGACCCAAACTCCGGCATTTCAATTAGTATAAAGGCAGAGGAATGCCTTCTGAGAAGTTGTATAATGATCAAAATATCAAAAGATGGGAGTTGTATAATCATCAAAACATCAAAAAATGCCCATCTCAAACATACTTAATATGTCAGTTGTACATATAGCATGACTTAACTACTATCATATGAAAATGCAGTCATCGAAAAAAGGAAGGGGGGGGGGGGGGAAAATGTGTGGTTGAAAATGAGTTTTGAAAAAATGAATTTTTGGAAGAATGGAGCTTAAACAAGGGCTATATTAAATCAAGTGAAAGATTTAATACCTTAGGTATTGGTTTAATACTTCATGTTTAAGAATTTTTGCACGTTGTAGTATTGATACATATTTGTTGTAGTGTATTTAATGATATCAATATATAATTAATGGAATGAAAACTCGTATATTTTACTGAACCAAATTTTCACATCCAAATATGTGAATGGCATTTATGTCCCTAAATCCATTTCGAACTATTCAATATATATGTTGTCAATTAGTGAGTTAAATGAAGATAGATTGAAATCTTACGAATAAGAAATTGTCATAAGTTATTGCTGATAAAATGGAATCGTTAGCTAATATTATTGGCCCTATGGCTTTTCTTTGTGCAATATCGTTTCTAAAACGGGGATTTTAAATGTTTGTACAGTATCAATACTACAACTCAAATTATAAATGGTTCAACCTTAATTCTATGGAAATTGGGATTTGATATATAACTTTGCTTACCTTAATTCCTAAAATAGAATAGTGTTGTTTACTGCATAAATTGAAGCTTTACTTTAATGCTTTATGTGTCCCCAGAAAGTGAGAATGGAAACCAAGTAAAAAGGTTGCTTACTGTAATTAATTCGTGTACTTTCTCTTGCACACCTTTAAATTTATATATGTTGATATTTCTTCCTAGTTTTTCAATAAATAAGGAATTAAGGATGTTGAAATTCCTAAATAAGTCATACTGACTTCGGATTCTTAGCACATTGATCTTTTTGAAGACTATGAGCATCTCCACTTGTGATCTAAAAAGTATATTGTTAAGCATTCCAGGTACATAAACCTTGTTCCATGTCATATGGTTAAATGTATAAATGTGTTATCCTATTTGTCCTTATGTTAACATGATGTTTGATCATTACTTTTTATGTCATAAATGCTACTCATAACATATTTATGCACGTTAATGCATCTATAAGTATACATGAAGTTTCAAGGAATAAAATGTTTCCGAATGTCATGACTCAACGAATGTTTTAAAAAGATATGTATCCTGAATATTTTTATTACGATGTCTATGTCTATACCCTGAAAGGTGTGAATGGGAATGGGGCGTGAGGGATCGGCACACCAGATTAATGTTCAATGTTCAATGATAATATTAATGTTAAATACTTGGCGGTACTACCGATAGACTCAACCGGATTCCAAATAATAATTATCCATTGCATTCTAATTGGCTAGATGATATACTAAGTGACCTCATGACGTCAATGTTAAGTTTTTAAGGAAATGAAAGAAATGGGATATATATTGGGAAATACTTTTATTTTAAAGTGATTCATACACATATTATAAGCATATATCATATGCATGAGTTTGTTTACTGAACATTAGCTCATTCCTATCCCTCCCATTTTCGGATGAAGATAAGATGATTTGAGATGACGACTTGTGTCAATCCTAAATCAGTTCTAACATATTTTAATTTTGAATACATTTTGAAATTAATGTTACCATTTAAATTAATTGTCTTATTCTCTTATTAAGCAAAATTTAATTTCATGAATAAAGTCTTTGATATTTATTACGTTAAACAAAAATCTAACCGTCTTTTTGCATTTATGATTTTAAGAATAAATTAAATGATAGTACTTCCAAATCTAAGTATCTAGATTTAAGGTGTTACATTCTAAGCCCTAGTTAATTATTGTAGCATGAAAGTAGCATTGACACTAGAATAATGCTATTTCTACACTCCTGTGTACACTCTCTTCACATGAGAAGGCCCACGTCCAATAAAAAAGCGTGGGCTCCTCTCTTGTCAGAGGAGTGTACATATAGCAAAACGCTTGATAGTATAGCCTATAGGTGAATTGTGGCACTACGATTATTTATCCTATATTCTATCAATTTTTAGACACTTTGTTCCTACATCACAACTATGAATCATTAAAATAGTTTTGAAGAGGGGGTGTACAGAAGGAACAGGCAGGATACCGTGGGTAAATAGAAGCACTACTATTATTCATCCTGTATTCTATCATTTTATTTGCATTCTTTTCTTTTGAAATAGAAAAAAAAAAGGGGTTGAGGATCCAACAGGACAATAATAACACCTGCAATAAAAATATGAAAGGCCAAGCTCTAATTTTTAGACAGTAAGCAAGCAGATTCACGCAACCCAAGCAAATAAACCAGATATAAAGCAGATTGATAGGGGCAAAGCCAGATCATCCATTCTAATAGCAAGAGCAATACACCAATACAGACAAACTAATTTAAGTTAATGCAGAGAAAATCAATTGTCATGTCTTCATGCACTTTATGCAGGGGGAGATGGAAAGGGAGGTGGAGGCTTGGCTATAGCCCCGCCCTACCCCACCCCATAAGAAAATTGGTATGTGAAAATTGGAAATTTTAATCCAAATTCATGGTGAAATCAAAAGGAATAAAAATTTAGCCCAGTCCAAAAATTAATTTTAACCCAACTAACTTCATTTTCAATCCAACACCAACGTTCAATTCTTGAAATTTAGTTTAAAATTCTACAACAATTACTAGTTTATTTTATTTACATTAATGACACACAAATAACTCGTTATCAAATTAAGTATTCTATTTCATATATATATTGCTAAGTTTAAAAGGTTTACTTATAATCAAATTAATTTATTATATAACAAATAATTTTTATTGATTAAAGTAAAGATAAATGACATATTTTAACAGTATGAGATATCACGTCTTTGACTAAGCTTAAAAGTAAATAAATTTTTCTTCATGTATTTTTTCATATATTACTTACTTATACTTGTGAATTAAAATTTTATTTCTTTCAATCATAAAATGGATGTTATTATCAAAATAAGTAAATGCTCTATATTTAATTTTATTAGTATAAAATATATTCGTTAGAACTCTGTCATAAGTGTCCAAAAATATATTCTGATTCACTTTGTCATAAGCATCTTGAGTTTAACCTTTTAAACTAAATCTCCTGGGCATAGAGCATTTTTTTATGGTATAAGTTCACTGAAAAAAATTTAAACTTCAGCCCACCCTAACAAATATTTCTAGCTCCGCCCTTGTCTTTATGTAAATGCCTAAATACTGGGTGGGTTATGAGACTTACTAACTGAATTTTTCATCATATAGTGGCCTCCACCATCAGCATGTTTACTGGTATCATCTTCGTCGCAACAGCCAAAACAGCTCATATTTATTTTCCTCAAAGTATCTCCGTCCGTATAAGAGATTTCCTTTTTCCTGTAAGAAAGAGAAAGCTCTCTTTGATGCAGATTGCATAGCATGAAAAGTTATCAAAAGTTACATTCAAGATCATTCTTAATGAATTTCCATAAATGAGGAAGTGTATCTATGATAGCATACCCAATTATACACTTTACCCATATTTATAGGGCACATAATAAACCGATCAGCATTTTGCTTAGTTTAATTAAATTGCTTGGCCACATTTCTACCATCGACCACTAATAACATAAAAACTTTCTGGCAATTAATTAAGAAATTCATTGCATCCTCTACAATATATATTCTCCCTCAAGTCCTGAATGTCTTTGCTGTCAAATTATCTGAGTCGAAGCCAAACAAAGTGTTTGACAAAGAGTTGCAGGTGTGACTGTAACACCAGTAATCACTTTGTCACAATTTCAGTCTTTATCGAGTCTATGAAACTGTTTCATCCTCCATAATCTCTAGCTTTGAAGATCAAAACATAGGAACCATACTCAATTAACAGGTGGTCTTTGTCAATGGAGCTTCTTTTTTAGTTTATAAGCAAATACATATAGAGGAGATGCGATTTCGCTTTCCAATGTGGATAAATAATTAACATTTGTAACCTTGCATATACACTAATTATACTTTTAAATTCATTTATTGCGGAAGTGGAACTATTCCAACACAAAATGCATTCATTCACCATAAGTGTTGTAGATGGTAACAATTTAATAACCACAAACGCAAAAACGAAAAGGATGGAAAACTAATTTAGATATTTAGCAACTCTTTGTAGGGAATTAAAAATCATTTTTTAGTGAATTTTGATAAAAGTTACTGAAACGTGGTTACAACTTTAGATTTTAATCCTTATTAAACAGTAGCTTAATAAAAAACTGTTGATACGAACAGACATGGAGATCTAGGAGAAACCAGTTAAATAACAAATGATCATCAATTATACTTGAAACAAAAAATTCAAGTTGTATATTCCAAAAACACCGGGATCAAGACTTGAGGAAAGCAATAACTAAACCTGAAATCAGCAAGCGATGCAAGAGATTATTGTGCCAATCTACTTAGAGAAACTCCACACGCTAGTGAGTGAGAGAGAAGGCAAGATAAAAGAGATGGGGGCCGTCGAGGGAAAAAATCGAAGCCGGCGATAAATGCGGAAGGAATTAAGCCAATTGGGGAATCAATGCGTTTATGTATTACTGTGAGAGGCAGAAAGAGAGAGACAAAGGCCTGTCTTTGGTCATATGGAAATTGGGCTTTGATTTGTTCAAGAATCAAAGTACAAACGTGTTTGGCTTTGCTTTCGAAGAAGTCAGTTTTTTAAAAGAGAATCTTATTTTAAGGTCAAAAGGTGAAATGTTGGTTGTTCGAATTTTTTTTTTTTTTTTTCATTCTTTCGAAAAGATCAATTATGCTATTTGTATAATTGTATTTGACGATATTATCAAAATCTAGGGCCTGTTTGGGATCGATTTTTTAAACCAAAAAATTGATTTTTTAACCGTTATTTCACTATTTCAGCCGTTACATTTGACTTCTTCTTTCACATGTGGACCCCACTTTTCTTCTAACGATCAAAAAATCAATTCTTAAAATCACTCTCAAACAAGCTCCTAAACTATTGATTTAAAATCAATTTTTGAAAGGGATGAATATGACACGCTGTCAAGTGTGAATTGTCTATCAAAATTGTCAAACTAAATTGCACATGTACCCTAATTCCTCAAAAAAATCATCTTCAAAAGTATGATTAAACTATAAAGAATGCCATCTAGCATAAGTAGTATTGAATGCCAATTTAAATTTCAACATGTCATAAGTCATTATATTTAATTGAACATATAATTTAATGATACAAGTATTGTTATTTAGACTTGTGTGAAACGTTAGTGATATTGAATAGAATTACTCTGATTAAACCAAAATAAGAATATATATATATTAAATCTTGATATCAATAAATTGACCGGAGGTATCACCCTCCACAGACAGTTGGATCACTTCGGATAATTCTTCGAAGTCATTTTTTATATGAGTTCCCAACTTCCTAGGTTGGATTCAACTGTTGGCATCGCTAAACTAACGAATTTTTAATAAAACATGCTTTCAACTATTTGAAAGTCAAATCTACGTAACCAAACTTTAGATAATAATGATGTAAAACTCACTTTAAAATAAATAAATAACCAATTAATTCAACAGCGAAAATATGGATCAATTCTCAAAGGCAATATCAAACCCAATCACTCCTATAATTCTATTTACTCTTTTAAACCTTGTATAGAAACAATTAATAAAAAGTAAGAGTGACTTTATTTTTCATAAAAAATGTCATTTTTTCGTTCAAATTCTTACTTTTGAAGCATTTGATTGATAATTATTTTTATGGAAAATATTTTTCAATTTTCGGCCATGTGATCATATTTTTCTTAAAAAAACAAAAAAACAACATTTTCTTTAAGGAGAGGTCGTTTTTATTTTTCAGGTAATTCTCTCTCTCATCTGTCCACTCTCTCCCATCTGCCATATAATGAAAATTGACAAGTATAATATTTTTTAGATTGAAAAATAAATAAATCAAATACATTTAATTACTACTTTTCTTACAAATAAGTTCTAGACAGTCCAATTGTCTAGAATTTATTTTATTTTCATGCTTGTAATCAAACGCAACCTAAACGAAAATTATATCATTCTACAAATATATTCACGAAATTCAAGCCTTAAACCTTCATTATCATACCCGGGTGGTCAAGTATTGGGTTGGTGTGAATTGGATGAAACAAATAAATTATACTATCCATGTCATGTTATTTGTCAATAACTTGAATACTTCATTAAACAGAAGTCTATTAAAGTCATAATCAGAAAATTTAATTGGAGACCAGTTATTGAATCAAACTATATTTATAAGTTGAAACCCTTAAAGGAGAATGGGTAAAGTTGCGGAGTCTAATTATTATTGTTGTGTGGCATCTTTACGCGAATTAATCCTCTTGGTAAGGTCACTATTGGGGTTCAAAGGGGATGAAAAACAAGGATTTTCACACTTATAATTTCGATGTTGACTTAATTTTTCTATAAATAGAGAGTCATCAATAATGTTTAAGTAATCATCGTAAAATAGAAGATAGAGGTTACAGGATATAGGAATTGTGATTTTTCTTGTAAACTTCTATCCATTATATTGAATTAATATAGCGACGGAAGGGAGCTTAGTCTCACATTGAGTTGTGTTGACATGCTAAAAGTGCAGCCCAATTCGAATAACCCAAAGAATGAAGTCCAACTGAACAATTCAGGACAAAGACCCAAATAAGGTTATTAATGAATATAGTGGAAGCCCACGAACGCGGTAACACCATCGCCCAAACTTACAAGACGCCTAAGATCTGAGCGAATGAAGTGTCTTGCAGTCGCCCAAAATTATAACCCCATTTTCGCCAAAACCTTCGAATCGCCCAGGATCTTAGCAAACATAAGGTATTATGGTTATCCAAAAGTACAGTTATCGAAACAGTTATTGGGTAATCTTATCACGTTCCACGATTCAAGAAGTTCAGTTGAAGACGATTGAACGACAAAAAGTAGTGGCAACATTTAGAGACGGCAATTCCACGATAAGTTGGCCATCATGAAGAAAGTGGACAGTTATAAAGCAATTAAGCAGTTTCTAAGCGGTTGATCACAAAGAGGGCATCAAGGGAATATAAAATGAAGAAAAAGACATAGAGCAAAGACCCCGAATCAAACACTCTCAAAAAGAGAATATGTAATTTCAATTCCTTAGTTTACACTTAAAATATTTCTTTTCAGTACTCGTGTGCTTGCGCCCCTTCGAGGCATTCTGTTTAAAGTCCAATTGTAAAGTCATCACCAATAAAACACTCCTTTTTGGAACTTTGTCTCAAGAGATTTGTTCCTGACACAATCGTCTGATCCCTTTTTAATTGTTAGCGACAACCCGCATGAAACAATTTGGCACGCCCAGTGGGACCTTGGTGTTTGGTGTTGAAGATACAAAAGGTGAAACAATATGTCTCAGAAATTCGATAAGGAAGCAGCAAGTCAGGGAGGAGTCCAGTCTGTGATCAAGCGATCTGAGGAATAGCATAGCTCTCCACGAACAGATGGACAGAATCAGAGCAATCACAGTCGTTACGAACCAATGACAGAGTTGAGTCTTCGAACCACGCGTGCATTACTCGAAGAACTCACACAAGATGTCGTTGAACAGGTAAATCTATGAAGTATTCATAATATGGAAAGATTTATCCAGAATGGGAATGCGCATTATGACAACATGGCCAAACAACTGAATACTTTGAACGAAATAATGAATAAGTTAGTAAGCCAAATTTCTCAGCCAGTTGTGCCTCTTGCAAACCACTTTCAAACTAGAACAATTGTGGAACATAATCCCCAGGTCCTAAGTTTAAATCAAGGGGTAGAACCACCTTTTGATCCTTCTACTTCAAACCAGGAGGTGGTGTAATTCCAAATCAGAATAGTGGCATTGGTACATCTAACTTGGGGGGTAACCTAAATGTAAGAGATAATGTCCTAAATAATGGGCAGAATACCCCACGTGTTAATGACGGAATAAATGTTCAGGCTAATGGTAACAATGGCCCAAATCATGGTAACTTTGTTGCCAATCAAGGACCAAACATCAGGCCTCAAGCAAATCGACTAGTCAACCAACCTGTAAGAATTCCATATGACCCCAACGTCATGTTGAGGAATCAGATTATGGAAATCGTACAGGACTAGATGGCTTTTGGAGTACGTCATGTCATTAGACCGACTTACACAAAGCTATATCCTGATTACGTAGACCAAGCATATCCATAGCTTAGAGGATATAAAGTGCCAGAATTCTCACTGTTTACCGGTTTAGGAGAGGTGTCTACTCTAGAACACATAGGGCGATTCGCACTGCAAAGTGGTGACGAAACTGATTATCATAAAATGAGGCTGTTCCCTAGTTCATTAACAGAAGTAGCCTTCTCCTGGTTCATCAATTTGCCAGCAAACTCTATTCAAACATGACAAAAATTGGAGCAATTGTTCCGCGCTCAGTTTTATAAGACTGGGTCTGAAGTTACTTTGGTCGATTTGACGAATCTACGTCAAATGCCAAACGAATGAGCAGAAGGTTTTCTTTAAAGGTTCAAGACAACAAAAAATAAATGTTTTGTACCTTTACTCGAAAAGGAGTTTGTCAAAATTGCTCAAGGTTGTCTAAACTTTGATCTAAAGAAGAAATTTCAAGACAAGGAATTTCTTGATCTTTTCCAATTGAGCATGAACATGATTAGGTATGAAAGATTAATAAGAGAAGAAGAACAAATGAAAAATTCTAGCAAGGGAACTTATTATAGAGACCCAAATTTTGATGTTCATATAATTAATGACGAGTATTACGATCAAACCGAAATGTGTTTGGCCGAATTAGTTAAAGGAGACACATATACTTGTCCTATAATGGCTAAGCCTAAACCGTCGGGCAAGGATGAGCCTATAAAAGATGAAAACATAAAGGCTAGAACGTTCTCGTTCGATGTAACCAAAGCGGACCTTATATTTGATAAGTTATATAAGGATAAGCAGATAAAGCTGAGCGATAAGCATAAATTTCCAAGTCCTGAACAAATTAAGGGTAAAAAATATTGTAAGTGGCATAATGCATGGTCACATTTGACTAACAACTGCTTGGTTTTTCGCCATGTGTTACAAAGTGCCATTGAATCAGGACGAATTACGTTCGAGGATAAGAGGAAGATGGCAGTGGATGAAAATCCTTTTCCATAGCCACTTGGGGTGAACATGGTGACATCTGGTTTCAAAAACAAATTGTCAAAATTCAAGTTGGTTATAGATGATGGAGAAGAAGACCCTGGACCACATCCCAGTGTCTTTGAATGTATCAAAAGGAAGGATCCCAAAAAGGACGAAGACGTCCTATGTGCAAGATGCAAAAAAGAAGTGAGTGCAAATGTAGAAAAACCATGGATATGGTAGCATCACCATCGCCCTAGTTTTTTCCCAAGCGCTAAACCTGGTAGAGGGCAGGGTACATCGTTCTATAAGGGATCGCCTTTTGAGAGGCAGTTCAGGCCAGTAAATAATGGGAGAACATTCGAACCGCAACATCGCCAACCAAATGTATGGCATTCGTTCCAGTATGAGGCTGGAAGGGCGATACCTTTCAACGAGATGACTAGAACCCAACAAAGGCGTTTTCAACAGAA